TGGGGGGGTTCTGGCAGGAGTGGGGGGCCTTGGGGGAGAGGTTGCCCCAGGAAGGCAGGTTCCCACAAGGCCCCTCCCTGCTGCAGGGGGTGACGCGGCTGCTGCTCACCAGGATCCCCTTCTTCAAAGAGATCATTGTCAGCTCCTTCGCCTGTGACAGCTGCTCCTGGTCCAACACTGAGATCCAGTCAGCGGGCAGGATCCAGGAGCAGGGTGTGTGCTACACCCTGGCTGTCACCTCCCGGCAGGTGAGCAGGGCCCCCCTCCCGGGGCAGTGGGGACACCCTGTGCACACCTTTGCCCCTCACAAGCTGGTCTGGCCTGAGCAATAAAGTGTTTATCTCCTGTGCTGTTTGAGAAGCAGTGTTATTGGTTTGGTAGGAACCATTTCATGCCCAAAACGTCCATGGTTCTAGTGCGGGTGGCAAGGCTGCCAGCACAGGCTGCTGCACCCCAGCCCAGGAGCTCCTGGTCCCCTGGGGGGTCCTCATGCTGCTCCACAACTCTTGTCTGCAGGACATGAACAGGGAGGTGGTGAAGACTGACTGTGCCACAGCTCGGATTCCTGAGCTGGACTTTGAGATCCCTGCCTTCACCCAGAAGGGAGGTGGGTACATGGCCTGTGCCCCTCACTCTGCTGTCTAAGGACCTGTCCCCCTCCCCCTGGGCCAACATGGGGGGGCTGGCAGGGCTCAGCAGGAGCTGGCAGGGTGGGTAGCACTGCTGGGGTCTGCTTCACAGTGCTGTTGCTTCTCTTTTCTTTCCTGCTCAAGTCCTGACCACCATTGAAGGGATAATCAACAGAGCTGTCACTGGCCTGGAGCAGGACCAGCCCATCCGCAGGGTAAGAGGCTGGAAGAGGGGGCAGCTCCTCAGGGAAGCCTGCTGACTTTGTTAGTTCTGTTTGCTGTCATTATACCCTGCTGATGAGGGGAGCTACAGGCTCTCTGGTTTGGGCTGCTCCTGGCACCACTCAAATGCATCCTCCTCTGCAGGCAACAGATGAAGAGGTGGCAAGGAAAATAGACGAGTTCATCAGCAAACTGAAGCAGCTGAAAGAAGTACATTCCTCCTTCACCTTTGTGAGTAGGCAGGAGCGTGGCCCTGTTCTGCACTGGGGAGAGGCTGGGGATGGCTCCCTAAGGCTCCATCCTGCCTTAGATCATAGATGATCCTTCAGGGAACAGCTTCGTGGAGAACCCCCACGCGCCGCGCAAGGACGAGGCCCTGGTGGTCACTCACTACAGGAGGAGCCCCCAGCAGGCTGCCATGCTGGGGCTGCAGGTAACGGGCAGCTGGGGGAGCAGGGCTCCTCAGCCCCTGGAATGAGGAGCAGGAGCTAATGCTGCTTCTGGTGTCCCCTGTTCCAGGGAGAGGATCTGACTGAGAAGGCAGCGGATCCTGCCGAGGATCTGAGAAACGAGGTGGGAGACTCAGCAGTGCAGGTGGCCAGGAGAGGCTTTCTGGGCTGGCTGCATTGGTGTGATTCTCCTTCCCATTCCTTCTGCCAGGTGCTGCAGTTCAACACCAACTGCCCTGAGTGCAATGCTCCAGCCAGCACCAACATGAAGCTGGTCCGTATCCTTCGGTGCCTCCGTGGGCAGCAGAGCTTGTCCGCGTGGGGATCTCTCCCAGGGCTGCTCTCAACCTGCCTGTGAGCTCCTGCAGTCCCTGGGGAAGGAATGGGGCTGTGGAGGAGGTGCAGGCTGCTGCTCTCAGGCTTCCTTTTGTTGAGTTTTCCTTGACTCTCTGCTCCAGAAATCCCACACTTCAAGGAAGTGATTATCATGGCCACAAACTGTGACTCCTGTGGGCACAGGACGAATGAGGTGAGCAGGAAAACTGCTGGTCCTTCTCTGGGGCAGTGGAGCTCTGACCTGCCTTCCCAACCATGGGAAGGGGTGATTCTGGTCCTGAAGAGCTCCATCTGGGACAAATCAGCCATCTCTGCACTTGGGTTTACCCTCTGAAAGCATCATGGTGTGATTTAAGTAGTAAAACGTGGAGCTGAGTGCTGGCTGTTCCTAGGTGAAGTCTGGGGGAGCAATCGAGCCACAAGGCACCAGGATAACCCTTCGGATCACAGACCCTTCTGACATGACAAGGGACATCCTAAAGGTAGGGAGCCTTGGAATGCTGGCCCTGCCCTGCTGTGGGTGCAGGGACTGACGGGTGCTCCTTCCTGCAGTCAGAGACCTGCAGCGTGGAGATCCCAGAGCTGGAGTTTGAGCTGGGGATGGGAGCTCTGGGGGGGAAGTTCACCACTCTGGAAGGGCTGCTGAAGGACATCAAAGAGCTGGTGAGTGGTCCCCTGCCTGGTGGGGCTTGGGCCCCTCCTACCCCCATGGCTGGCTGAACGAGTGGATCTGCCCCTCCAGGTGGAGAGAAACCCCTTCACCCTGGGGGACAGCTCTGCACCTGGCAAGACAGAGAAGCTGCAGGAGTTCATTGGGAAGCTGCAGGAGGTGAGGACACACTTTTTCCCTGCTTTGCAACAGGGTTTTTCCCACTGTCACTGCAGCTGTGGAGTGTGTTTGTGCCAGAAGTGCAGGGTGGGACAGACCCTCAGTGCCTGGACCTGTTCTCTCTCTGCAGATCATAGAGGGAAGGAGGAATGTTCACTTCATCATGGATGACCCTGCAGGCAACAGCTATCTTCAGGTACAGCTTTGGGCACCAACAGATAAGCTCCTTGAGGTCTCCTGGGTGGATATTCTCTGTTTTCCTGATGCACATTGGTGGGCAGGGTTCCTACCAGGGCTTTGTCCAGGGAGGGGAAAAGGCTGGTGGCTTTGTGGGAGGGAAGAGGGGAGCAGGATCCCTCCCCTGAGATGAGGAGCTGGGAACGAGGGGTCAGGGCTGACCCCAGTCTTGCTCTCCGTGGGGTGATGGAGCAGTTTTGCCTTGTTTTGGGGGTGGTGATTCTTGTCCGAAGCTGGGGTGCTGCTGGTGCCCGGGCTTTGGGAGAAGGGGGGTGCAGGAGGCCTCCCCCTTGCCCTGCAGAACGTCTACGCCCCGGAGGAGGACCCGGAGCTGCAGGTGGAACGTTACGAGCGCACGTTTGACCAGAACGAGGAGCTGGGGCTGAACGACATGAAGACAGAGGGGTACGAGGCTCCGGGCCGGTAGCGGGAGCAGCCGGGCCCTGCAGCCTCCCCCTCGGGCAGCCGGGACTGGCGGGGGGGGGGGGGGGG